GGGGGAAAGAGATGGAAAACCCTGGTATTATGACATCTTACAGTATGTCAAGGATCAGCAGTATCCAGTTCATGCAACAGAAAATGATAAAAGGGTCATCCGAAGATTGGCTATGAGCTTTTTCCTGGATGGGGATGTCCTGTACAAAAGAAGTAAAGATAAAGTATTATTGAGGTGTGTAGATGAGACTGAAGCGAAGAAAATCATTAAAGAGGTGCATGAGGGAATATGTGGGGCACATGCTAGTGGACATATGATGGCAAGACAGATCATGAGAGCGGGATATTACTGGTTGACGATGGAGAATGATTGCATCGACTATGCTCGTAAATGTCATAAATGCCAGATATATGCTGATAAGATCCTTGCTCCACCATCTGCTTTACATGTTATGGCACCATCATGGCCATTTTCAATGTGGGGCATGGATGTCATTGGTCCAATCACTCCAAAAGCTTCTAACCGGCACAGATTCATTTTTGTGATGATAGATTACTTCACAAAGTGGGTGGAAGCAGCATCATATGCAAATGTGACACGCTCCGTGGTTTGCAAGTTCATAAAGAAAGAGATCATTTGTAGATATGGACTTCCGGAGAGAATTATTTCAGACAATGCCAAGAATCTAAATAGTAAGATGATGCAAGAAATATGTGCTCAATACAAGATCAAGCATCATAACTCGGCACCTTATCGTCCGAAAATGAATGGAGCAGTTGAGGCAGCCAATAAGAACATAAAGAGGATTCTGGAGAAGATGACCGAGACTTACAAAGATTGGCATGAGAAGTTGCCATTTGCCTTGCTTGCATATCGAACGTCAGTTCGCACCTCTACTGGGGCAACCCCATTTTCTTTGGTTTATGGGATGGAAGCTGTACTACCAGTGGAAGTAGAGATCCCCTCTTTGAGAGTCTTAAAAGAAGTTGAGTTGGAAGAGGCTGAATGGATTCGAGAACGTTATGAGCAGTTAAATTTCATAGAAGAAAAGAGATTGACTGCACTGTGCCATGGTCAGTTATACCAAAGAAGAATGATGAGGGCTCATGATAAGAAGACTCGGCCTCGTTGCTTTCGAGAAGGAGAGTTGGTTTTGAAAAGAATTCTCCCAATCCAGCACGATAGTAGAGGAAAATGGACTCCGAATTGGGAAGGGCCGTATGTGGTGAAACGGGCTTTTTCGGGTGGAGCATTGATACTGACTGAGATGGATGGAAATGATTTACCCCATCCTGTAAATTCTGATGCTGTGAAGAAATACTATGCTTGAAAAAAAAAAAACAAAAAAAATAAAAAAATAAAAAAAAATGAAAAAAATGGAAAAAATGAAAAAATGAAAAAATGAAAAAATGGAAAAAAGAAAAAGTGAATGAAAAAGGAGGACTCAAGGCGAAAACCCAAAAAGGGCGGTTTGAGTCATAGGGGGTTTGTCTAAGTTAAAAACCTGAAAAGGCAGCTTAGATAAGGAGGATACAGCATCGAATTTAAAAGTCTGCTGATATGGGGGCCAACAAGTTCGGAAGAGTTCCAAGTTGTTAAATACATCAGAGGGTTGAGTTTTCAGAAAAGACTTTGAGATGTGTTATCATGATTATCTGATTGTTCATTTTGGGCTTTGTCCCCATACCTATCCTTGTACTTCTTTCTTGACCAAAGTTTGCCAACATTTTGCTAATAAGAGACATTCTATTCCATTCTTTGTGTCTTTTTCTTATGACTGTTTCTCAACATTCAGATTCTTTTAATACCCCACCATCGAAGAAATGTGCAAATGCATTCTTACTTTTTGAATTTGAAATAACGATTGATGAATGAATAACAACAGGAAAGATTTTTACATTACATTGAATAAGTCTAAAGTAAAAAGGCAGAATCAAGACGTTCAGCTCCTGATTAGGACATTGAATCTAGGAAGAGATTTCTTACAAGAAGAATGTGAATGGAAGAGACAATTGAGAGCTACACTGGTTCGATCTTAGAAGAGCAGTGCAATTGGATCCTTGAGGAATCAAAGGGCTTGACACCCAAGAAAAAAGAGTTAGAGAAACTTGAGTACCATACATTGAACATGAATTAATTGGTCAACATTTGCATAGCATGCATTGAAATTCATATGCATTTGCACAGCATACACTACTTTCAAGAGAATATAGTGTACAAATTCAGAAGCAGGGGTGTTCCAACATCCCACATGGAGAAGACAAATATGAAGATATTTTGCAAAACTGAAAAAGAGAAAGCTTGTCAGGTAAGTTCCTAATCCTCGAAATAGGATGTCTCTTGGTATCAGGGTTGATTTATAAGACCTTTGGGCATAATCTCCTGAAATCCCTTCAAACACAACTTTCAACTCCTTCGGACATGATTGTCTAGGAGTATTTATTTCCAAAGTCGTGGTGCCTCTGTTTAGAGGAGCAATTTACTTTTCAAAGTCGTGGTGCCTCTGTTTAGAGGAGCAATTTACTTTTCAAAGTCGTTGCCTCTGTTTAGAGGAGCAATTTACTTTTCAAAGTCGTGGTGCCTCTGTTTAGAGGAGCAATTTACTTTTCAAAGTCGTTGCCTCTGTTTAGAGGAGCAATTTATTTTCAAAGTCGTGCCTCTGTTTAGAGGAGCAATTTACTTTTCAAAGTCGTGGTGCCTCTGTTTAGAGGAGCAATTTACTTTTCAAAGTCGTTGCCTCTGTTTAGAGGAGCAATTTACTTTTCAAAGTCGTGCCTCTGTTTAGAGGAGCAATTTATTTTCAAAGTCGTGGTGCCTCTGTTTAGAGGAGCAATTTACTTTTCAAAGTCGTTGCCTCTGTTTAGAGGAGCAATTTACTTTTTCAAAGTCGTTGCCTCTGTTTAGAGGAGCAATTTACTTTCAAAGTCGTTGCCTCTGTTTAGAGGAGCAATTTACTTTCAAAAGTCGTTGAGTCCTGTTTAGAGGAGCTTCGGCCAAAAAAAAAACAAAAAAATAAAAAAAAACAAAAAAAAATCAAAAAAAAAAAAAAAAAAAAAATAAAAAAAAAAAATCAAAAATAAAAATGTTGAGTTGAGTCTTGATTGGGTGTCTACGTCTTTGCGCAATTTCTGTTTCACAGAAAATGTGCAAAGAGGGGCAGCTGTAGACACCCAATCAGGTCCGCCCGGACAATTGGGCCTGACCCGGATCAATTGGGCCTGACCCAGACATTTGGGCTGGCCCAAATGGGTAAGGCCCATTCAATCATGTATTTTTATTTTTTTTTTCTTTTTTTTTTTCTTTGTATTTTTATATTTATTATTATTATGTATATCTGTATTTATTTATTTAGATTAGATTTATATGTATATTATTTATATATTATATATTTATTATTATTATTATTATTATATTATTTTTGTAAGATAGTTTTGGGTTTATCTTATTTTATTATTTTTTTTT